GACAACGTGCCACGTTGAGCACTCTGGGGCCACTGCATATGTAATCTTTCCATCAATGGGTTTTGCAAGCCTTTTGTCAGTGTCAGTAAATAAAGCTCCACAATCCCAACTTCCCCAAAAGCAGCGTGTGAACTTACGTTCACACGCAGGATTCTGGCTCAGCTTCCCAAAATAATGGCATGTGTGAGCAGAGGGGAGAACTGTTCAGATGTTTGATGTGAGGCCGACTTGGCCTTCGCCTGCAGTAAAAATAAATCATAGTTGCTCTCAAACACGTGGAAGGAGCTGTACATAATTTAGGGGCTAATCTCACCTTGTCGGTTCCCTGGCTCGCAGCTCTGGAGTGGCACCAGCATGTGGCTTTTGGTCTTCCAGCAGACATTTACCATGAGAAGGTTTTGCAGGGTGATGTCTTTAACATAGGCTCAGTGTCACTTTGCAATCCAACAGTGTGTCAATGAGTTGGTGCTGTCTGTGTAGGTGCTTCTTTTCATCATCCTCTTCTATTACCTCACGTGGAGTTCTTTGAAAAAAAAAACCACACGAAAACAAAAAAAAAAGGGAAAAGAAAGTGGGAATATATTTACTTTCAAATATTACTGTTTTTCTAAGGAGTTTCAGAAGATGTTCTGAAATGTGTTTGAAAATGCCTGTAGAAAATTAATTCCCATGAGATGCATTTATGTGACAGGGAAGAGAAAAACAGCTGTGATATAATCCTCCAGTTGTATTTGGTTTGTGGGGTTTTGTGATGCTTCTTTCAACGCATGCCTAAACCTTCTTATTTGCTATGTAAATACAACTTACACCATCTTTCAGTGGAAGAAATGATAAAAGGGATGCTGTAAGCAAAGAAGGTGGTCGCCAAATATGAAAAGGGCAAAAACTACAGGGAGGGAGGAAAGGGAGGGACCTCCAGATTTTGTGCTTCTTGCAGCCTCCTCGACTCCTTCAGTGCTCCATTTACCTTCATGCAGCAGCAGCATGTGTAAATAATGAAGTCTGGACGTGCTCAAGAGAATGCTGGCATTGCTGCTGTTAGGCTGCTGGATTAGTTGTACCTCACTTGGTCCTGCCCTGCTTTAGGTGGAGCACAGGGAGCAGGCAGGGCCTCCTGGCTGCCAGCACCCCATCCCTTCTCCTTGAGTGTCAGGCTCAGGAATGCAGGACTCGCCAGAGAGTGAAGTCATCGTGGTTTGCTTGGACCTTGAGCGTGGAACTTGGAGTGCAGCATCTCCTTCCAATTACGTGAGCAAGTGCTGGCTCGTAGCACGCAGCCTGCAGGCTGAACCTTTGGATTGTGACCCCAGGGGGACAGCTTGATGGATGTCTCCTGTCATCCCTTACCCCACCAAAGCCAGGGAGCCTCACCCAGGAAATCCTCTCAGCAATTTCTGCTCAAGGGGCACCTAGTTATCTTCACTCATGGGACAGAAAGTGCATATCATCTCTGATTAAGTATTATTGAGTACACCGGGTTATTGGCTGGAGATTTACGTGCCAAAATTTAAGAAAAATGAGAGAAAAGGTAGCAAATAGCCTTTCTTGCAATCAAAGCTGCTTTTGTGATAGGAAAACACTAGTCAGAGTCATTTGGGAAAGCAGTCTCCTATGTCTGGGAGCACCAGGACGAGGTGAGCAGAGCATCGAACTACGTTGTGGTTATATGACATGTGGTGGAGTTTCTTCATGACAAATACAAAGTGCTGGTCACTTGTCATGTCACCACTTCAGGAAGGGGGAACAGAGAGAAATGGGGGAAAAGACAGTCCATTATTTATATGAGATTTTTTCCCTATGAGCAAATCTCTATCATGATTTTCCTTCCACAAAGCAAAAATCTGCCTCCACAAGCCTGAGCTCTATGAGGAGGTTGGGAAATAAAAGAGAGAAGGGAAAAACCTAAAAATTTCTATTTTCTTGCTAGTCAAATGTGCCCTGAGTAGAGAGAGGCTCCTCTGGGAGTTGCAATTGCTCCCTTGTGGACGCTGGAAATGTTTTGGGGTTTGGTTTTTTTTATGGCTGCAGCTTTACTCTGAATGATGGCAAAACTTAGTCTTCTGCTATTACTGCCAGCTCTCTAGATAGAGCAGGAAAGAAAAAAGTGAAGTATCACTTTGGGGTGTTTCTGGGGAAGAAATGTTTCCACAGCCATAAATTGCCTTCTTGGGAGCACTGAAAATTCCTATCCCAGTGCTGTGCTTCATGTCAGCAAAGAATCAGAGTCAGCAAAGTCTTGGATTTGTAAGGAATAAAAACTGAGTCTTATCCAAAAACTTTTAACAGCTTGATGTGGCAATGCATGGTAAAATAAACAGTGAAAATAAAATAATTAAGTTTCTACATTTCTAGTTGTAGCAGTGTTGGAGTTTTTTAAAGATGCTTGTCTTGGAGTAAAAATTGTCTTGTGAAACACTGTTTGAAGAATCCCTCTGTTGAAGCAGTGCTGCAGCGCTGCTTTCCCCCAGGTTAAAAATTCTCAGTTTATTGGCAGCCTGAGTTAATCTGGAGGTTTGATCTCTGTTCTGTACTGCGGGATTTAGGTGCTTTTACACAGGTTGCAGTCTCTTCATGGTTTTGCTTGTATTTGAGAATCATTTATATGTAAATGATCCTGATCCCCTGTTCTTTACCTCCTTACCAATTAACTTGGTTTTTGAAGCACACGGTTGTGTGAGCAAAATTGGCAAGTGGTGCTTCCTGGTGAAAAACTGGGTGGTGTTAGCATGGTGATCATGATTGCTGGAGCTCATTACCGAGTTGACTCTTTGAATAATCAAACCTTTGAACTCAGCTCAGTGGTATCCCATCGTCTCACTCCGTTAGGCAACTCGGAGGCAGCTCTTTCATGTCGCCTTACAACTTGTCCTATGTAAATGGCGGATGTGTTTATTTTCAAAAGCAGCCAGAAAGCCCAGTGGAACAAGAAAAAAGTTGGAAGAACAAGCCCTCAAAGAGATTTTGACACTGGTGCCAGGGGGTTTATGAAAGATAAAATAGCTCATTTTTTTATGGCTGAAGGAAAATGCCATTAAATCCCATGTGCCTATCTGCTACAGTAAACTTGCCAGAGCTATTCCAAAACCAGCATGCCGTGGGATATTCAATGATTTTCAATGAAAACTAGGCTTAAAAATGCAGATCTCCTGCATGTGGATCAAGGGGAGCTCCAGGGTGCTCAGTATATGTTTCTATATGCTCACACATGACTGTAAGAATTATTTTAAACAGGGTTTGCTAGCTTTGACTTTGAAACTGCATCTGCTGTATCTACTCAGTTCCTTTGTGCGTGGCATAGGTAATTTTGCAGAAGGAAAATAACTTGTTATTGTAAGAGTAAATGGGAAACATTTTACAGGTTGCTATCTACCAGGCTAATCTATATAATAAAGAAATAAAACGTACTTGTATTAAGTCCTGTTGCAGTAAAAGTGTAATATTTGCTGAAGTTCTCTACAAATTTTAGTCCTCCCTGTAACATCAGGGGGAAATCATTGCTTGGTGACTGAGTGCAGCTTTGAGCAGAAACTGGAAGAAATCTGAGAGAAAAGATCCTGCACAAACATGCAGGATCTGCATGGGTTTTGCATTGTATTTTTCAGAATTCATTTAAACTCCGGGTTCACGGTGAAAGGGAGGTGGCAGGAGAAGGCTGGAAAACCTGATCACTGAGTGTTGGAGACTTGTTTTCAGATTAGTCCTGGTGCTCAGGTGAATTAGTGTAGAAACTCCATTTCCTGTTGCTGGACATGGAGCAGTGACTGAAGGCTTTTTGGACCCTGGTAGAGACGGGATGGTAGTGAGGTGTTACAGCATGGAAATCAGAGTGAAAATGGATCAAAACAAGCCTTTTTATATTGCTTCTTTACCTGCATTTCACAGTCAGCCCCAAAATTTTCTCAGGCAGGGATTGAGGGGGCAGTTGCGAATATCTGGCATTGAACTGGAGTAAAAGTTTTATGCTGAGAGAAGCTGGAGGGTGCTTATCTTTGAGAGAGGTAAAGGAGATGGGAGAAGCAAGTTTTTCCACAAGCTGTGTGTGACATAGCAGGGGTGATGGAGGAACAGCTGGGGGCAGCCTGCTTCAGTTCCCCCACCTGATATTTCAGGCCAAGCCATAGACAGATCCCACAGTGAAGCTCCAGTCTGTGCAAGTACCTTGGACTAAATAAGAGGTTAAATAAGGTAATTGTAAGGTGGCATCCCTCAGTATTCCCCACACACTCAGTACTTGGTGCAGCTATTGCAGGATATACAGTGGGTTAATGCATTTCTAAGGCAGGTTCCCCACCTCTTGCTGCTTGACTGCTCATTGCAAGTTTTCAATGAATTAGCCCACTGAGCATTAAAGTCTCCAGGATCTGGCTGGGCTGACGTGCTTTTCTGCTTGTGTCACGTGGCCTCGAGATCAAGGGGCCAGGCATTGCTCTTGGGATGGTGCAGCAAAGCACGAACCTCAGAGAAAATTGATGGCTTGCTCCAGAGTGCAGCCTTGTGTTCATCCCTCTGTGCCCTTTTGATTTTGGGAATGGATTTGTGGTTTGGTTTTGGGTTTTGTTGGTTTTTGTTGCCTTTTTTTTTTTTTTTTTTTTTTTATGGCACCATGGAAAACATTTTTCTGTCCAAACCAGCCGGGTCTTCAGCACCACTTAACAATTAAAAGCATTTCTCTGCTAGGTGTTCCCTAAAAGATGGGAAATAAGATTTTTGCATTAAAATGCCAGGAAGAAAAATTGTGAGGGTATAAAGTGCTGCTTTATTTTCATCAGATGCTAGTGCTTTTGGAAAATCAGTTGTGCTCCAGTGATCATTACCCCCCTGTGTGCTTCTCTCACTGTTTGCTCCGGCTTGTCTCTGAAAGGCGGCTTGTGCAGAAAGCCTTGCCTTAGTCGTAGCTCCAGTTACACCCTGCAGGGCCCTGCAGCCATCAGAGGGGACATCCTCAGGACCTAGGCTTGAGGATCCCTTCCTCTTTCTAACCAGCTCTGCCTTGGTTTCAGGAGTATCCACCTCGGGGGCTCTGGGCCCGGGGAGCACCGCTGCCAGCACCACGCCGCGCATGGCCACCAGCACCACAGGCCGCACCACCACCACCTCGGCCTCGGGCAGGAGGAACAGGAGCACCAGCACGCCGTCCCCCATGGCTGATGTCCCTGATGAAATGACCACACACCTGCCACCTGCCTCCTCCCAGCTGCCTCCAGCCGGGGCGGAGAGCTGCGACCCCATGGAGGCCCGCGACATCATGTGGTCCCGCACTCGGCAGGGCCAGCTGGCGAAGCAGCCCTGTCCCTTGGGCTCCATAGGTGAGTCAGGGGGTGGGGGGACACAGCAGGCTGTCTTCACGTTCTATAACACTTTGTCAGTGTGCAACCAGTACTAAAAACCCTTTGGGAATGTGCTGGGAGAGCCTGTGCTTCCAGAAGTTGTGTACAATGAGCCTTACCTGGTTTTGCCTGTATTTGTAACCCCTGGGCTCACTGACTGATGTGTTGGTGGCTAATTCTTTGCTTGTTTTGCTAAGAGAGGGGACAGGGAAGGAAATCAACAAAACTTGTACTTTGAAGCTCCTGAACCAGTGTGAGTGAATTTTTAACTGCAGCCAGCATCCAGTATGATCAGCTGGGAAACTGGAGGCGGGGAAACAAAGCCAAATCTTTCAAAATGGTTTATTGCTTATTGGATTTTGCTCCTTTTCTTCTGCTCTTCCCACAATTGTTTTCTTGAAAAATGTTGCTTTTGGAAATTTTCTGTTCAATTTAAAACATAATCGCACTAAGAATGGGTTTTGGCATACAGTTCAGTTTGCTGTGGTTTAACAAATGCAATTTTCTAAAAATAGTTATTTTTCATGCTAATCTTGGTGTCCAGCCCCAAAAGTTCTCTTTCAAAGAAGAAATCTTAAAAATGGAGGAAATTGCCTGAAAATGAGGGCTAAAGGGATCTGGCTTGTAGAGGAGAGACTCAGTGTTAAATCTCCCCTCCTGGAGAGCCATTCACACCTGTGTGTATGAGTACTGACTCAGTCTGGAATTTAGTGAGGGCAGACTGATAAAATATATGTTAAAGAATGAGGAGCATGGAAAGGTATCAGGGGTGAGATAGGTAAAGAGCATTTTTGCTGTCTTTTCCAGCCCTGCTTGGTAAAACTAATGCCAAAAGTATGATGTGATTCCCAGAGAGGGAAAAGGATATTCTGAACCAAAACTGTAAAAATGAAAAGAAGATGGAAAATGAAGGCTGGATGCAGGGAGTCCTTTCCTAAGCACAAGAGCTAAGGACAGGATGAAAATAACTAAGGAAAAGACAATAGCCCAACTTATGGATAGGGGATGGCCAGTAAGCCTTTCCCATCTCCAATCTCAGTGATTCACGCAACTTGTTAAAAACTGTGATACGTTAGTACTTCTCTTTGTCTAAAAGGGTCTGAGGCATTTTGCTGTCTTTTCCAGCAGGGATTGGGCAGCACTTGCCAAACAAAACTCTCCTCCAAAGTCCCTCTTGACAGCTGGGGGCTGACAGTAAACCCCAGCCATTATATCTTGGTGTCTGTAGCATTCAAACTTTTGTGTGTTTCCACCCAAATGTTGTAATGATGATTCAGAGACGTAAAATCTTCATAAAGCTGCAAGGATGATGAGGCACAGGGTCTGATCCCTAATCACTAGTGGTGGGGCAGACCACTCAAGGTGCTGGCTCGGTATTTGAGATCTACTTCTGATTTCTTAGTACCTGGCACTTTTCCTGTACGTCCTCTGTCTGTAACTGCTGTTTGCCATATTGGAAATAATATTCCTGCACAACATCATGGGTCTTTTATGTCTTAAGGCCCTTAAAGGACTGAGATGATGGGAGACTAGGACACTGACATGACTCAGAAGTGTGCTACTCAAGACTTGAGCACTAATAAGCACCCAAAAGCCTTTGACATGGGCAAAATGCAACCAGTCACACTGAGCACAACAACTTTCCTATTACAGGTGTTGCAACTTTCCGGTGTCTCGCGCCTGACGGTATCTGGGAACCCCAAGGACCTGATCTTAGCAACTGTTCTTCACCCTGGATCAACCACATCACTCAAAAGGTAAAATCCTTCCCATGTGTTGACCACTCTGAGTCTGCACAGTGAGCTTGCTCAGCTCCCTGCTTTTCTCACACAAGGAACCCAAAAGAATCAACAGTCACACATGAAGCAGGAACCATGCAGAGTAGCCAAGAATTTCAAGGAGAAAGCAAATGTCTCATGGAAATTAAGGCAGAGAGGGTAAGGGAAGGCAAAGAAGAAGGACTAAAGAGCTGAGTTAAACTAGAGTGAATGACATTTCTTGTTCGTGGCAAGAAGAGGGAGGAGGAGGTGGGTGGACATATGGAAAGTACTGAGTTGTTGAAAAAGGAAACGCCCTTTCATGCATCCTCAAGGATTTTTTCATGTCACGCAAGCAGAGGATAAACCCCATAGTTAAGAAATCTTTACCAAAGAAAGGAAGGCTCAATGTGAAATGTTTGTTTTGTGCCCCTGACTTTCTGTTTTTAACTTCTTCCCAAATTATAAAAGAACTGGTGGAATAGAAAACAATGCTGCAGTAATGCTTATCTTTTGACTTTTAAGTCCCTTGATGAATGTTTTCTAGCACTTCATCATTTATCAGTGTTAAGAGTGCATTAACATGTGACAATAGAAGTTCAAGACAAGCAGAGCTTATTTGGTAGCAATATGTTGAGCATTTTTGTTATTAATGCACAATGGTGCTTTCAGCTGATTTCATTACAAACAGAGACCAGATGTGTGTTTACGCCATGGAGTCTGTGGGCTGAATTTTTATTATAGCAGTTTGTGGGGATTTATTCACTCCTTTAGCCACAGTGAGCAAGTCCTGGCGTTGCAAGTGAGCTGTGCTGCTGCACAGTAGTGACACAGAGCTCCCAAAGAGCCACTGGTCAGTGGGATGGGATCACTCCACAGACAAGACGCTTGGACATTCTCCTCTCTGCCCCCATCTAAACTGAGACCTAATAATCTGTGAATTGCTAGCACTAATCATCCCTATCTTGCTTCGTCTGTGCAAGACCGTTCCTTGGTCCTGTGCAGGACCCATCCCTCCACAAAGGAAAACATCAATTAATGTGGGGCTGCTGTGATATGGCACAGCCACTACAAAGCCCTTCTGTCCCTCTCCTGCCATACACCCAGCAAGCTGATGAGCACAGGCTGCCTTTGCTGGCATTAGCAGCTGTGTGCAGCTCTTGTTTTATGACCTACATATTTCCCCTGGAGGGGTTAATATTACTTACTCCAGCCATAATTCACCCAGGCAGCTGGGAGACCTCTTGCTGCTTGGTGAAGATGACTAGGCCGTTAGCCATTAGCAGAGGGAAATAATAGCCTGCACTGATGAAATCTCCATCAAGGTTAGGCTTATTTTATTTGAAACCCTAGCTATCATTTGCGTAACAAATGGGCCCCATTTAATTTGTTACGTGCTTTCAAAGTAGGCTAAAATTGAACAAGGCAAGTTTTGAGAAATGCCCAGCAGGTTACAACTGGGACTAGATTTATTTTCTTTTTTCCTGAAGGAATTTAGTTATGTTCAGCATTAAATGCCTTCTTCTTCCAGTCAGTAGAAAGGACTTGGGGAATCAATGAGATGACCCTGAATCTAAGCTTTTTGCCTGAGTGGGAATTCATTGGGATCTTGAGATATGTGACCCAACCTCAATGACGGCTGTTACAAAACATCAAGACTTTTTAGGAGTGACTTTTGAGGGGAAAGCCTTGCAAGGCTCACCTAGGGGTTTGTGTTGGGGTTGCAATCATTGAAACATTTATATTGGAGAAGACCTCTAAGGTCATTGGGTCCAACCATTCACCAGCACTGCCACATCCACCACTAATCCATGTCCCTAAGTGCCATGTCTACACATCTTTTAAATCCCTCCAGGAATAGTGACTCAGCCACTTCCCTGTGGCCTGTTCCAATGCTTGACCACTCTCTTGACCACTCTCTAATATCCAATATAAACCTTTCCTGGTGCAACCTCAGGTGGTTTCTTCTTGTCCTATCATTTCTTACCAAGAGAAGAGACTGACACCCACCTTGCTACAACCTCCTTTCAAGTAGTTATAAAGAGGGATAAGGTCTCTCCGAGCCTCCTTTTCTCCACGCTGAACATCCTCAGCTGCCTGAGCAGTTCCTCATAAGCCTTGTGCTCCAGACCTTTCCCCAGCTCTGTTGCCCTTCTCTGGACTTCCTTCAGCACCTCAAGGTCCTACTTGTAGTGAGGAGCCCAGAACTGGACACAGCACTTGAGGTGTGGCCTCACCAGTGCCCAGTACAGGGGGACAATCAGTGCCCTGGCCCTGCTATCCACACTGTTTCTCAAACAGGCCAGGATGCCATTGGCCTTCTTGGCCACCTGGGCACACAGCTGTCTCTTGTTTTCTGCTGGGCAGCTTTCCAGTTACCCTTCCCCAGCCTGTACTGCTACATGGGGTTGTTATGACCCAAGGGCAGGACGTGCACTTGGCCTTGTTGAACCTCATACCATTGGCCCTGGCCCATCGATCCAAATCCTGCACATGCCATGTGAGGGCACTCAGCATGATCTGCTCCATGATATTGCATTGCATTTTCAACTTCCAGTGCACTAGGATACCCCCAGTTAGCCACGGCTGCTGATAAATGATGGAAAGTGGCTCAATAAGCTCCTCTGCAAGTTCCTTCAGTACCCTTGGGTGGATCTCATCCAGCCCCATAGACTTGTGGATGTGTAAATGGTGTATCAGGTCACTGACCATTTTTTTCCTGGATTGTGAGGGTTTTCTTCTGCTCCCTGTCCCTATCTTCCAGTTTTGGGTGCTGGGTACCCTGAGGACAACCTGGGTACCCTGGTCTTGCTGTTAAAGACTGAGCCACAGAAGGCATTAACTATCACCTCAACCATTTCCTCATTCTTTGTCACTATATTTCCCTGATATCCATTTTTTATTGTGTTTTATGGCAGCAGACAGGCAAAGTTCTAGTTGAGCTTTAGCCCTGCTAATTTTCTTCCTGTATAACCTCACAACGTGCTTGTAGTCCTCCTTTGTTATCTGTCCTTTCTCCAGAAGCCATAAGCTCTCCTTTTTTTTTTTTTTTTTTTGTATTCTAGCCAAAGCTCTCTGTTCAGCCAGTCTTATTCCCCACCAAGTCATCTTTTGGCAGATGGGCATGTCCTGCCTTTAAGATTCAGTAGGATCCTTACAGTAAATACAGTTTTAAATTGCGTATGAAATAACCAATAGCCATTTGGTTTCCCTGCCCAAGCAAGAGGCTTGAAAATCATCACTGCACTTAAAGATGGAGACTGACTCATCCATAAATCAAGCACTGGTTTCTAACATCCCTGCTGTGAATGGGATGCTTCCCAGAGCTTGCAGATTTGCTCCAGCACCTCTCTGAAGATGAAAATGGAGCCTTCTGCCTCTAAGTCAAACCAGCTTCTCCTCCTTCTGCTGTGGGGACAGCTAGAGGGAGCAGTAAGCCAGCTGTGCTGTGAGGGCAGGGCTGGTTACACCCTGCATCCCCAGCTCTCCTGGTCACTCAGCCCACTGCAGCTGCAGCACAGCTGACAAAGTGGGTAAAAACACTTCTCTGTCAGCCAGGGCTCATACCTGCTCAGCGTGTCTTCATTCCTAGTCTGCTTTGTCTCCCAAAAATCTGACATCTGCAGGATCCAAACTGCTCAGGGAGAACAGTGATGGGTCCCCTGGAGGGATTTCAGCCAAGCCAGAAAGGACGGCAGGGAAATGCTGTGCTTGCTTTCATATCTTTGTAGTGAAGTAAGAATGATTACTTCTTCTCCTTCTCCCGCTGTGCTCAGACTATAGATTGGGTGTTTGCCTGCTTGCATCATGGTATTAGGTTTTACAGCCGTTTCCTAGCTTCCATTAGAGTTATTGTGCTTGATGGAAGATCAGAACAAATGTTCTCCTCAGCAATTCATTGGCCTCCTGACATTTACTTTAACTTTATTGTTGGTGCCTACCATGCCCTCGTAACGGAGCAGGAGAATGAACTTGCCAGTGTGATTGAATTATGCACTGCTACCCAGCTTATTTCCAGAGTCAAGCAGCAACAGGAAGCAAAAAGGTCAGCTTTGGATACATTGCATCATCCTGATCATGAGGTCACACGTTCAGTCTCAGCCTGTTTGTTTTGCTTCTTGCTTTTATCAGTGCCATCCTTAGTGCAGTGTGTGGCTTGCCTGGAGATGTCTCTTCCTTCCTGCCGCTTTCAGCTGTGGGTGCTGCCTGGGAGCACAGGCACTGCAATGCTCAGCTTCAAACCTCTGGGAGAGAGGAGGCCTCTTTTGTAGCAGAACAGAAAAAGTTGTGCCCTTCGCAAATGCACAGAAAGCCTCAATCTGTAAATCTAAAGCACATGCCCTCCTGAGTCGCCTGGATCAGGTACTCCCAAAGAGCAGGTGAACCTCAGGATTTGTAGCACCTTCCTGAGGTCTTGTAGATCTGCTTGGATGTGTGTTACAGGAAGAGTAAGGTTTTATGGAAGACATCCCCACATTGTTGTGTCCAGTTCTGAGGGTGCAGTTGCAGTCCAGATGACAGCACAATGAAATCCTCCATCCAAGTTGCTTTTGGCAGTCTGTTTTCAGAGCACCATCATGAATTGGATAGAGCAGATGCCACAGAGGGTGGCTTATTAAAGGGTCATTAAATGCAGTTTAAGTTGGTTCAATACCATAGTTCCATAGCCACCATTTCAGTGTTCTCTAGGTCTGCTGTAATCTATGGAGAGCATTGTCTCTTCTCCCAGACAGCTGGCAAAAAGAAAAGAGGACGCAAGCTGTGCCAGTGGAGGTTTAGGTTTTAGCATCAGGAGGCATTTATTCATTGAAAGCATGATTAGGCTCTGGACTGGGCTGCCCAGGGAGGGGGTAGAGTCACTGTGTCTGGAGGTGTTTAAGTAAAGGCTGGATGTGGTACTCAATGTCAGGGTCTAGCTGACATTTTGGTGTTCGGTCATAGGTTGGAATTGGTAATTTTAGAGATTTTTTTTTTCCAACCTAAATGTTTTTGTGATTCAGAAATAAAAAAGGAAAGAATGGTAGATATGCTCTGACTCTTTTCTGTGAATGCAGACACATATATTGAAATTCCTGCCAGGGAAGGAAAAATGCCATGAAAGCTTTGAAGTGTCAGAAGTTAGCCCACAGCCCCTCTTACAGGCTTGCTACCTGACTGCTGGGAGCTAATGGTGCCTGGTGAAACCTGTCAGATGTTTGTTCCTCCAGAAAACAGCATCAACTTCGTGGTCTTTCCAGCTGACCAGTCCATCTGTACTGTTTTTAAAGTTTGGTCTATCATGTCATCTTTTTATTTTTCATATCAGTTTGCCTCTTCAGAAGGCTGCAGGAAAATACTTTTGCCTTTATGACTATTGGTGTTTTAGTTAATTTGCTCACTTCTCAGCATATTTCTTATTTCTTCTGAATTTTCCTCCCTAAATACTTATCTTCTTGCAATTTCTCTCATTTTTATTCTATTGTCCTCTTCTGCAATTGAGTTTCTTCTGAGAAAGGTAGGGCTGAAACAGCAAGCACTGCTGCAAGAGAGCCTTTGTCTTTCCAGACAAAACTCTCCACTTCTGTTTGTTGGCATATATGAAACAGGCAGGAGAATATGTCCTCTCCAAAACCTATTATTTCAGAGTCCTTTCACTCATAAAAAGGTGCAAGATAGTGGCACAAACTTGGAAAATGTTAGCAGAGTGTTAAACAGAGGGATTTCAGGTGTGCCAATGATCATTTGTAAATCTGGCCTGAATCCTGTCCCCCCAAATGGAAGAGGGGAGCAATTTTTTGGCAGACCTGTAAAACTGTGTTTTGTATGTTGGCATTATTGGCAAGAAACATATTTTCACTCCTTTAAATTAGCATTCCGAGACTGCTTTTAATCTGTTTTTAAAAGGTAAGAAAAAATAGGCCAAAAACCCAGAGAAACCAAAAATTTTATTTCAACTTTCATTTGAACAGAATGTTTTCTTTTATTCCAGAATCCTATTTAGATTTTAAATTTAATTTTTTCCTAATCAGGGTAGAAAATGTTAAAAAGTAGTCTCATATCAGGGAGAAATGTATTATTTTTAATTCCCTTTATTGTTCTCAAGCCTCACAGTAGAAAGGTCAGATACTTATACATATTTTCCCTACTTCTTGCTTGCCTCTCAATATCAGCTTGAGCCATGGAGATCCTCCAGGGGTTGTTGCTGTATTCATATGTAACTATGTCAGTGTCTGGGTTAAAGAGTATTACATGTTTTGGGAGAAATAACATGAAGAGCTCATCTTTCATGTGGCAATAATGAAGAGAAAGATGTGGAGAAGTAATTTATAGGAAGGAATTAAGTAATGCATCCTCTTGGGTAGCAGTAAGCTTTGCTGAGCATTACGTAGAATTAACCAAAAAAAAGAAAAATAAAAAGGATTCAGTCCTGTTGTTATAAGAGACCAGATACTTATCTGGAGTATTCAGTCCATTTGGGAATCATAAGAGAAGTTGGGTTTGACAGCACTGCATAGGAGACACTTCAATTTCAGTGGAAAAAGCTCCAAAGAATTGGTGAAATCAGCATTAATGCGTCACACAGCCATCATCCTAGACATCCCTCTCATGCCAGAGTGGAAGGAGTGTCTCAGCACTGCTGTAGTGACTTGTAGCTGCACGTTCTGCGTGACCGTGTGTAGGTGCGGAATTGTCAGCCCTAGGATGTAGTTTCATTACCTGCCAGCCAAAAACGTTTTCCCAGAAGAATGGCCAATATGTGTTCTCAGGAAACCTGGGTGTGTAAGATAACTTTGGATAAATACTTCTGTGTCCCAGGAGTTCACAGACTGAGCTTTGGTTTGCCTTTTTCTCGGGCGTTTCTTCCATTGCTGCCTATTTTTTGTGTTTATTTGGCCACATATAATTCCTCAAATTTACAATTTTAGGGTGAGTCCAAGAAAAAAGGAAAAGAGATAATTAGTGACCAGCTTTTATTGTTTTTGCAGACAGATAGGAACAGCAGCAGCCTGCAGGGAAAGGAAACTCTTTTGCTTGCCTTTGTAGCAGCTGAGCTGCATTTTCTCTGAGTGTGCCAGTTTGCATGGGTGTGTGGTCCAAGGGAAAATGTGAACGTCAAATACTGGGTAGTGGGGGTTTTGGTTTTACTGTGATGTATCTGTAAAACTTATCTTCAATTCCCACAGTTTTCTGCAGAGCTTACACAAACAATGTGTCATGATACATGCTAAGCTTCAGCAATGAACTGCAGGAAAATGTTGAAATTGATTTCTCTATGTAAAGGGATTTGATGCAGTCATTCTTTGAAGTTCTGAGAGGTCAAAATTCAGCCTCTGTGCTGATGTGTGGCTCCCTTCAGCTGCTTAGGAGAGCAGGCAGCTGTAAGAATAGGATCTGGTTTCTATGGCATTAGCCTTCAGTGTAACAAGAAAGAAATAATTCAGTTTTTGAATATATCTTATCATTGCTCTAATGGGAAGAACAACACATTATCTCCTTTATTTATCTTCTCTGTATCATCATATGCGTTAATTCCCTGAAGACGAGCATATGAACATCTTCAGTTAGATTTCATTAAATCAGATTGGCTTTTGCTGTCAAATTGATGGAAATAAGTTATTCATTTATAACTCAGCTAATTGATTTACAGAGAGGTAGAAGCTCAGTCTATAATCTTTCCCTAGAATCTTGCTTTTATAATAAGCACCAGAAAGTGAGGGAACAAGAGAAATATCTGATTTCTAGCTGTTGGTAGATAAGACAATTGAAAATTCATATGAAAAGCGCAGCAGAGTTTGCCATTGAGTCTGACAGAGAAGTGGGAACTTCATTTATGTGTCATCCTGTATAATTTCTCCTTGTCCCAGGCATATTCCACATGGATTTGCATTCCAGATCACAGACTGGTAGATAATGAATAAGAGACCAGCAACCTGCAGTGGTATTTTTGTAGTGGGCTGCTGATGAAAAGGAGATGGGGCCAGCTGCCCTGTCCCAAGTCCCCATGGCACAGAAGAGGAAAGGGATACCAGATAGGGAGAGCAGAAGAGCAAAAAAGGAGGAAAAGCAGGAAAAAAGTGAGAGTTTCTCAAATAATTACACAGTGAATTTCCCTGCAGGTCTTTTGTGAGTTTTGTGGCTCAGCTAGATGATACAAGTCTTTCAGTAGAAGATTCAGCCAACCTCTCTGCTGGCTTTTCCCTTCTAGTGGACCTCTGCTTGAGCCTTTTACTCTAGAGTTGGAATGCTTTTACAGGTGCTGAGAGTCACTAGCCTCATTATCAGTGGCTAGTGCGGCAAGTGATGCCAAGTGATAAATTAGCTCCTGATTATTAAATCAATAAGATGGAAATGGTGAACTTTTTGCTGTGGTTTCTCTGGGTTATGTAATATATTTTTGCTCCTTTTACATGGAACTCTTCTGTGCAGAAGCTGTAACAAAAATCATCCCTTTGCCATTGCATAAAATTCTGGAATCAGAAACTGCTTTTTCTTGATAGGAGAGGCTACTCACATTGTTTTTTTCAAGTGGCACAGTAAGCCAGTGGGACAAGCTAATTAAAGCCTTCCTTAGCATGGAAAACCCATGGAAAACAGTGTCTAGTGAGAAGAAATTGTTGAAGCCACTGTAGTTGACTGGGAAAACTGTACTCAAAAAACTATTCATGATCAAATCATGAAGAATCTTGTTGTAGTTGACTTCTTGGGAAATGCTTCTATTGCGTCTTCCTTCTTCTTCCTCTTGAGGGGAGTTTAGCTGATTAATGATGTGGGGTTGGAAGGCACTGGAGTGACTTGTCACCGGCAGCCAGGTGGTGAGACATAAACTTTAAGGAATTTAAAGATTTTAGAGGAGCTAAGATTTCAGCTAGAGATAAGCTTTATTGGAGTTAATTAAAAGAAATGGGTAGGCCTTGATGAAGTTAAGAGTTAGTAGTTAACTATTAATTGATTGCTTGTCAACACAATGTTTGGTTAGCTGGGTTTATAATGAAGAATATAGAAACTGATAAATAACTTTTAGGAACATAAGACAATTGTAGGCCTCCTCTGTTCTGAAATCAGTTGAGGACGGGGAATGGGAGTTCTCCCAAGGGTTCATTTGTCATATTGCAAAGGCAGAAAGGTCAGAACAAGGAAGACTTCATTTACTTCCTCATTTTGGGACCCCTCCCCATGAAAGGGACCACTGACCCATTTCAAGGGACAAACTGTGCATGGTTAATAGCTTTTGAACTAATTACCATACAGGGAAGCAGGGAATGGGATGTACCAAAGTTATGAATATGCATTTGCATTTTGGGTATTCAATACTTGCATAGATAAAAGGACTCTGTAATCACCTGTAAATTGTGCTGTGTATTTGGGAGCTATCCCGCACGCTGCCCAGCGTCGCAATGAACATGCAATTTCTAACTTTAAACTGTTAGAGAGTCTTTGTCCATCACAGCTGGATATCGGTACTAGATCAATATTCATATTTTTTTAATAAATCACAACCTTTCCCTCTGCTTTGTGCCCCGCAGATGCGGTCGGGGGAGATGGCCGCCAACATCGCGCGGGAGCTGGCGGAGCACACCAGGAACCACCTGTATGCCGGGGACATCGCCTACTCCGTGTCTGCCATGGTGCAGCTCGTCAACCTGCTGGACGTGCAGCTCCGCAACCTGACTCCCGGCGGGAAGGACAGCGCCGCGCGCAGCCTCAACAAGGTGAGATCCACGCGGCCTTCCTAGTCACAGCCTGTCACTTAGCCCCAGGAGCGCCTTGACTGCATGGCAGCAGGGTGGTTTCTGTGCCTGCGGCTCAAGAAGAGTTATAAGTCCCTTTGTCATTTCCAGAAATGAATGGAATTGTTACATAACACTAGAGGTGCCAAGAGTTTCCAGTTGTGGGAGACAGCATGAGCTGTGGGCTCTGTAAGAACACATTTAAAGCTGAAGGTTTCTTTACTGAAAGGCCCTCTTCAGCACTGAATCTCATGTAAACACATGGAATAGGACTTACCTAGGATTATCACAATGAATTGTGTGGGCCTGGTTGTCAGGACAAAGAGCAACCGGACCCTGGTGTCTATGAGCACGTGCTTATATTGGCCACCCAGTTAAAAAAAGACACAGAATTTTGTTCTTGCCTGCATAACAGGCTCTGACAGTTCTGGCATTCATGTAAGCATGAACAGAACTTGGTCCCAAGATTACATGAGGAATAAGTGATCCCAGCTAAACCTGAAATTTTTTAGGTGTTTTATGAAGAAAAATGCTTTTCAGAGATATAGCATGGTCTTTTTTCTTGTAAGTTATTATTGTAGGCTGATGCTGTTTTAAATACAAAGGGCTTCGGGATTGTTTGAAAATTCAGTCGCGTGGGAGCTGAACTCCTGCATCTCATGTGCTTTGCATGTGCTGAGAATTGGGTTATCCTGATGCTTTTAATTAGTGCTGCTTCTAGCCATTTTATAACAACCTAGGTGATAATTGTATTAACTGTTACATCAGCATAACATTATTTGTTATAATCATACCATGGTTCTTTGTTGAAATGATGGTGATGTCTGACAGTATTAGGTAAAGCCAGCAATTAATGTCACTTACTAACAGGTTTCATGGTTTTAGTCTGCTTGTTCTTCTGGGTGCATCCCAGCCACACACAACATTTTGTCAATTCAGCTTTGCAAGCACATATTTTTCATCTTTGTTTTTATCTCACTTTATGATTTTTGTTTCAGTTACATGAAATGGAGTTGTATCATGGGGGCAGGAATGAGTTACTGAGGGGAGGGGAAGACTGGGCCAGGCAGAGCTCCTCAGCTCAGCTGTCACTTCTGGGGTCCCCACTGCAGGTTTCTCCCCCCTGCCATCCGCTTTGCACAAGCAACACATACAAATCAATTGCATTCCACATTAAAATTCTGGACCACGTGAAGTCCTGCAAAACAACGATGCGACTCAGTGATCCAAATGACAGGCTCAGTAATTTACTTGCTCTCATTCCCCACTTAATTCTTTAGAAGAGCGACTGCTCTGTGTTCATTTAAGAATGCATGAATTCAACTTGGAAGTAGTATTGGGCAAACAAAAGGCGTCAGAGTTACTGCTCCATTTTCCCCTTCACTGATCAAGAGTATTTAAAAAAAAAATAGGAAAAAAGTAATTTGCAAAGAATTTTGTTTAGTGCTGTTTAGTCAGAAAGAAGAAATAGAGTACGCACTAGCTATTAAATATCCTTTTAATCATTAAAGGAAATGTGCTGGGGATCCGAGAGTAATCACCTGTGCTGTTTTGTACTGGTGGGTTTTTTTACAAGTGATGTAGAATGAATTGAAATAAACTGGCATAATCAGAATTTTTAAAAGCTGTCATCTTTCAGGAACCACTTTTCTGTCACTAAAAGCTTTATGCTTTCCAATGGATCAGGCTTAATTAAGGTGATAATTGTTCCATTTCAGACTGGGAAGACCCCCGAGTGGATAGCTCTGTAATTTTCAGCAAGGCTTTCTTTGATCTCCGTTTGTTTCTGTAAAGTCTTTCTACTGGCCAGATTTACCCAGAGGAAGATTTCTACTGTTCCAAATTGATGAATTAGAAATTGAAATTAGGCATTGCATGATACCTGGGTGTATTTTGTTTATTTCAGAGCCTCAAAACTCTCGAGGACAAATTTGGCTCTCAGCTGCACTAATGGGATGGCACTGCTGTGTGTTGAGAGCACAAGTTGTCCTGAATCTCTGTTGATGTGCAATTTCCAGCCAGGCACATCAGCAAAAACAAAGCCAGCCAAGCCAGTGGCTCTGAACAGCCTGGTTTTCTGAGCTCTCATTGCAGTGATGCAGATCTCACCAATTCCAGCTCACTGCTGCTGAATGCCTGCCAGGTCTGTCAGGATGGGTCTATGCAGGTCCAGGCTGTATCAGTGTGCAGTCCTGCCCAAGTCTTGTTCCCTGGGGTTGGTCCTGCTCATCTGAAGCTTGGCTATATTTCACTGTCTGACTGCAGAGCCCATGCTCTTCTTATGCAAATAATCATCAGCCTCATCTTTTCCTACCTTGTTTGACATGGAAATGTCATGTGTGATCTCCAAGCTGTAAGGAAAACATCATGTCTTGACTATCTCTACTAGACTTCAGAGTCTTCTACCATCTAACAGCTACTCTTGCAAAGTTGCCAGTCTGTGCTTCACTTCACTGAAAAAGGACTAACCCACATTTCTGGAGCCAGTCCTTCCAGTTTTCCACTGCTGACTAACTCACGCTCACTCCTTTAGTTTGGTTGGTTTTTCAGGAGCTGTTTAAGAGAGAAATTAGGGGTTTTTCACAGGCATTTTCTTCTTTATTTTTTTCCCTTGTTCTGTCACTAACTTGTTTTTTCTATTCTGTCTTTAATCTGCTCTCTTTATGGACTCAGCTTCAGAAAAGGGAGCGCTCTTGCAGGGCCTATGTCCAGGTATTTCTTGTGTTTTTAATACACGTGTCTACTTGTTTGACTGAATGACTGTGAAGTGGGTCTTGTCTCTGTGAATAATCTGATTATTACCACCTTTGTGGTAGCAAGTTATAAGGTTGAGGTTACAGGATAATAATGTCATTTTTAACCTCACTGACCTGCACCATTTCTCTCAGACCTGACAAAAATTTGGGACAAAATCTCTGAACCCGAAAGTGGGAAAAAGCACAAGAGAGATCTGACAAGTTTCATCTGGCTGACTGAATGAGCAGGACAGTGTGTAGATGTGCAAGTAAAGAACGCAAAATTGCTGCTTACAGAGGTGTCTCCAGACCAACTGGATTTTGCTTACAGCATGTCATTCATGCTACTGCCACCTGCATTTCCTTAGTTTTCCTTCTTCCCCTTATACACTTCTAAATTGAGAGCAATTAAAAGTGGCAGCACTAAACAGGAGGGAGGAGGTAGGATTGTAATGAAATGCAGAGTGTCTTACAGAGAGATGTTGGAAGGAGGAGAGTGCTGCAAGCAGTGTATAGGGTGATGAACATAACATCCCATAAAGTTCACCCAGGTCTGGCCTGACTTTGATAGGCTTACGTTCTGTTTGATGTGAACAAAGTCAAGCTCCAGCATTCTGGAAAGTTCACACTTGTGGGCTTTTCAGGAGTGGGACCTCAAGTTATCTTATCAATCCTGTTACCTTGCCTTATAGTATTTGCTCCAGTGGTTTTTTTTTTATATAAATCTATTTGTATACTGTAGGACAGTTAATGCTGCTTTAAGAAATGTGAATGTTTTACCTTCTAATCTCTGTCTTGTGCTTGTGAATGTTGATATTGTTCTTATGGGTGGTTGATCATTATTTATATGCGTATGTGAAACGTGCATAAATGAATTCTGTGTTTCTGGAGGGGGCTGTCTTTTTGCAGAAAAACCTGCATTTTCCTGCAAAATTGCACTTCCTACAGTCTGTACTGACTTTATTTTGTGAGCACAAATTTCATTTAGCAAATGGGATTAGATGGTCTGGATTTCTAGGTTGTTAGAAATGAAACAGTACCTCTCTGTGCTGGTAGGCTTTCTTCTTTTTGGAAAATGTCACAAGATAAAGTCACATGTTTGCTTCCATATACATTGATGGATAAAGATGAGTTACGGAGTTACATATCCCTTATCTGGGATCCCAGAGAAAGCAGCTAGCAGGCATTTGATGGAATTTAGGAAAGTTTGCAGTGCAGTGCTCACTCCCAAGCTAGCTGCCTTGTGTACTGGTACCACTGGAAACATGGTGAGGCTGCTTTAACTCTGCACAGTCCTGTTGGGGACATTGTGTGCTACCTGATCCATAGCTGTCCTTTCCCCTGGCTGCACAGGCATTCTCCACAGAGTCAATGCACACTCCTGCTCTTCTGTCTTTTTTCAAACAGTAGCGATTGGTGAGTTTAATACCTACCCTACAGAAAGCTTGGCCTTGATAGAATAAAGCCTGAATACTCTGCAAAAACTTAAGCTTACCCTTAATTTCAAGGACTCCTTTCCTTTCACATGGGAAGGTTGCTTGCGTGTTTAAGCATTAATCATGCATCTACTTCTTCAGTAGATAAAAACTGATGAAAGCTCATTGCTTGAGCTGTTAAGTATGGGTATGGACAAATCTGCTATATATATTGAAGAGGACAGTCCTGTAAAAGAGGGCTTGAAGAATGAATTAGATGACCTAATTGAACCTTTTCAGCTCTGCTTTGTACTATATGGAGGTAAAGTAACGTATCTTGACATATTTTCATACAGTATGCTTCCAGGTGGAAAATTATGTGGCTAAAGTCATAGAAAAATGTAGTGAGGGAGAGGTTGTCTGTAGTAGCAATTCGATGTGACTGCAGATAGTCCTGTTACAGGCTACTCATCCTTTACCAGGAAGTGAAATGTCTGGGCTCACTGAGGGAATTTAGCAGAGATTTTTCAACAAATCTTAAGTGGTGACCCCCTGAGCTTTGTAAAGTCAGTGGAACATGGGAAGTCACTGGGACATGTGGCGTTGATGGCAGAGCAATAGAGTGTTCAGCTTTGCTGACATGATCTCCTCATGCTGATCCCATCACTGTGAAGAGCATCCCTGGCTGAATTTGGCTCAGAGGGCTAGAAGTGTACCTTCAGTTATGTGCTCCCTAGACAAAGGAAGGTGCAGTATGAAGTTTATGCAGGAGATGTCCAGGAACTGTGAATATCAAAAGTGCCATTGAGAAAAGGTATTTTTTTGGAAGGAGGAGGGTGATCTGAGAAGATAATAATTACTAAAATCAGTCTTACTGTTTTCATTGGGCTAACCAATTTAGGTAGCCAGGACAGAGCCCCTGTAGCAATTGATGTGTAAAGTCCTCTTAAGCCCAAAATAAATTACTATAAATAAATATGCAAAGTGGATGGAGAAATTTTGCAAGTTATTCAAACATAAAACTGGGAATGCATTATCAGATTATCACCTCATCTCTTTGGGTGCCTTTAAAACAAACATGGATTTAATTTGTTCACTTTCACAGTATTTGTTGAGTTAAAAGCTCAGGGATTTTATTGACTGCAGATAGAGGTTACAAATGCTGCTTCTTGAGTGTCACATGTGGTAAATGATCTGTTTTAGTCTCAAAAATCCAGCAAGAACCAACTCAGCAGGTGGCATGATGAATATGTATTAATACAATGACTGGACAGTTGCTGGAAGATTTTTCAGTCATGGTGATAGCAAGAAACTGCTAAGTGAGTTTTAATTGGTGATACTAATGAACAGTCTGCTGAGACTGAGCTGAGCAAGGTGTGTAAAAAGGTGGCAGAGTGGCCTCAGCAAGGTGCTCCATTGGCAAAGAGGTTGGCCTTCTAGAGAGCAGAGATCTACATCTCCTCTGCCCACCTTTCTGAAGTTCTTGCACTCTATTTTGGGAAGGGGATGGAAAAGTCATCATGTGGGAGAATGAATCACAATGGGTGATGCATTTGATTAGCATGGCTTGGTTTGGTGACTGGTCTGTGATATAAGCTGGTATGAATTTTCTTCAGTTTTTTCAGAATTGATGTTTGTTCATTTTCCAAAAGTTGTTGTCCTTAAACTGAAGCACTGGAGTTGTAGAAAACATAAATTACTTGACTTTTGGGGATTGTGACACTGGGTTTGGTGTCACACATTTCTTTCATGCCCCTCAGTAAGTATCATGTGCTCGGTATTTCTCAGCTCCCCAGCAAAAAATGCCACGGATGCCGTTCTCCTGTCCTCTAGGAATGAAGGTGGGGTAGTAAAAAGCAAAAAAAAAAAAAAAAGGCTAGGTACTCACATAATGTAGTAAGTGAGGCTGTATTAAAACAGAAAACTTAAACATGGGGGAAAAGTTAGAGAATTTTGCTGATTTAGTAGCTGGAAACACAGGTTTTATTAAAGGCTCATACCACACCCATGTTTGCAGTCTCTTTATCATGTTCATGCATCTGATTGCAAAGTCTGGGCTCACCTGCTTGCTTCACTTGGATTTGTGGGCTGCAGCTCTGGGGCATCAGGAGGCCAATGAATTTCCCTGCAGTGCCAAAGCAGAGGCCTCTCCCCTGTGAAATTGCATGCTGCGTTTGGGATGAGGATCTTGGAAGACAAAAACTTCACAGGGTTCTCATTCTTTTGGTTTATTATATAAAGTCAGTATGAGTGGTTTTAAAGCCAGAGGCTGGTGAATACAACAGATAGTGTGAATGGCAGCTTTGTGGAAAGGGTGGAAGGAGGCAGCAGAGGGTTGCTTCTTGCAGCATCTTCCTCGTCTAATGCAGTTGGCTGCTCTTGGTTCCTGCCATCCTCTGAGCTGCCCTGTAAGTCAGCTTGCCCTCTTTTGTAGCTCTGCACTGGTCTGGATAGCAAATGGCAATGATGGAGGTGCCACCTGCCCCTTGGTAATTACAAGAGCTTCTGGGTGTCATCAGAGCCACACATGAAGCCAGTGCTGAGAGGATGGCAGGCTCCTGGTAGCAGACAGTGGCAGGAGGTTGCAGAGGTGTCCTTCTGGTTCTCCTGGAAGTTTTCTGAACACTTCTAGTTTGAAACATGTGCTGTTTGAATTGCTGCACTAAGCAAAATTTGAAAGGCTTTCCTCAGAGGATTCAAGGCATTAGGTTTAGACCTGAGCACAAGAGACTTTATTTTTTTTTTTCTTTGCTAACCTGGTAGTTCTCATCAGATAAAAGGTGCATCTGGGACTTAGCTGGTACTATTTAAAGTGGATTAATTCTGTTTGTCCTACTTCTCTCTTGCTTGCATGATTGGTCGCAGCTTCCATGAAGACTAAACGAAAGAAACTTGCAACTCTGAGAGGGAGCACAAATTGAATTATGCCATGTTTCCTTGTGTTCTTGTTGCCCCTCTGACAAGAAAGACTCTAACCTCCATTTGTATAAAAAAGAGGCAAATTAATGAAGGTTTTCAAGTTCCTTGTTTGGTCACTTAATTGGCTGTATGACAAAGAGCTCTGCAGTGTGTGTCAAACAACTCTGAGAGTTCTCTGATGATTTGTGCATTGCTTGACTCCTGATGCTATTCTGCACAGCCTGTCAGGCGAGGTATCGTTGTTAAAGTGGCTGGAATAAATTGGCTAGCAGTGAGCATACAATGTTGTATATTAACTATAGCTACAGGGAGTACTTTTAGCTGCTTTTTCAAGAGATCGAGATGTTTGCCGATCAGCATCAAAGTGCCTGAAACTTTCATTTAATATAATTAAAAGGACATCTGAAAGAAGTGTGACTCGCAGTGAGGTTCAGTGGTTTGGTAGTCCTTTGTTAAAACTCTGTGAACTTAATATACTTCACAGCTTGAGAAACCTGCACTTGATTTGTGTCAGCAAGAGTGAAACTAGAAATCCTCACCCTGCATGTTTCTGCTGCAGTGAGCCTGTTGTTAAGGGAGAGGAGGATCAAAGCAGCAGCCTTGAGTTTGTGACCAGACTCCAAAATTCATCGCATAAATGTTA